AATATCCATAACTGCAGGACCAGGCAGTGAAAAAGGTGCCAGGGTATGGCATTCATGTCCACACATATTTGCTCCTAATCATGAAAAAGAAAGCATCCCACCACAGACCCAAGCTCCTGGTGCCATATGTGGCCCTCGGACAGCTGGGCCAATGGGAGCAGTAACTGGAAATCACAGTCTTGTGGTGAGTGGTCAAGAGCTTTAACATGGTTATATATCCAAGGAGTAGTCTATTTTCTCTACCTTACAACTCAGTGCTTTAGCATTTTCATGGGGCTGTGATGTCTCATAACAGCTGTCATGAAGTAAGCTTCATGCTCTTCCAGTAACATTTTAAAATAGAGAACCCTTAACAGTGAGCTTCACTTACAGTCAGGAATGGCACATTGGAAGGACACATGCATTTCCCTGGATAATCCTGGAGAGCTTGACAGAAGGCAGATTGTTCACTGACCTTGCTGAGTATTCCTCCTCTTTTTCCCAGTTAAAAGTTCTTTTGAGCGGCAGTGACATCTGGGACATTTGGTCTCAAAAGATTATCTCAAAGGAAAGGAAACGTACGGCATCCCAGTCTTCTGTATTAGTCAAACTGGACTTTCCATCTTCAAGGTCAGAAGACTCATGCAGCAACTATGTCACTGCCCTAACCACAGTCAGTAGGGCTATCAGATTTCAAGAAGCAATGGGAGAGGCAAGAAGTGATTTTCCTCATTTTCCTGGAGTTTGGCTTTGCCTAAAGCTTTCTGCAGTTTCCCTACACGTGACCTCACGTTAGTATCTCATTGGCCACTATGACACACTATGCTTTGGTGAAGCTAATGCTGGCTGTCTCGCATCACCTCCTTGACTCGCACGTGCTTTGACACTGCTTGCAGGAGGATCGGTTTTGTGATCTTTCCTGGCACAGAGGGGAGGTTCACCACTCTGTCGTTCTCTGGGTCCTCCTTTCAGCCCTTTTTAAAAATGACAGTGATGTTTCTTAGTGATATGGTTTAGTGGAGGACTTGTTAGTGTTAGGTCAGAGGTTGGACTCGATGATCTTGAGGTCTCTTCGAACCTTGAAATTCTGTGATTCTGTGATTCTGTGATTCTTTCCCTTTTTTCAGTCACCAGCGACTTCACCTGATTTCCAGGACTTTTGAAAAATTAAGGGGAGACAGCATTGGCAACTCCATGAGCCAGCTCCCTCACAACCCTGCGATGCATGTCACTGAGCCCCATAGATTTGTACCTGCAGCCCCTCTGCAGCCAGAGCTCCGCTGGACCATCTGGGAAGCGCGTTGCTGCTGCCTGAGGGAGTTAGGGTGCTGCTCCATCTGCAGCGACTGCCACTGCTGGCATGCAGCATTCGCAGAGCACAGGCAGGGTGTGGCTGCCCAGCAGCCAGCAGCTTTGGGGTGCCTTCATTCCTGTGTCACAGTGCCCATTCTCAAGCCTGATGCTGAGCACATTGTCCCAAGTTCAACACAGACCTCTGTAGTTTTGCATACACAGAGACGTGCAGAGCAACACTGCAACTCTGTTCAGGACAGAAATGAGGGGATCTGGCGCTGGCTGGAGACAGCAGGCCTGTGATGCAGTCCCTGTGATGCAGTCCCAGACCCTGTGTCCAATCCCATTCCTGCATACCGTGTTGCGGTGCTAATAGGCCTGGCGCTGAGGCAGGCAGGGTCTGGGACCTCGGGCTGAGCAGGTACCGACCCCGAGGGCAACGCTTCTGGGGGTCCATATTCTGGGAGGAGAAGGATGGACTCTGGCTTGAGAAGGGAGAGCCAAACACGGGATGAACGCGGCTGCCGACCCTTCAGTTTGCAGCTGCCTGAGCCCCACTGTGAAACGTTCTCCCCAGTGCCCTGCGGCTGGAAGGGGCGTCTGTTGTGAGGCCTCCCGCTCCACAGCTGGCTGCTCTCCATGCCACGAGGTCCATCAGGAAAATGCTTCTCTGCACAGTCACTACAGGAGCCCAGGGCACTTACCCAGCTTGACTTCCTCTGCCTCGGCCCAGCGGGGGGTGCAGGCTGGTGACCCATTTGCCAAAGCTGTTGGCAGCTCTGCGCCTCTTTTGCTGACCGATTCCACCGCAGCACTGCCAGCTCACTGCAAGCACACAGCGGGACGAGGTGGTGTGAGCACCTGGAGAGCACTCCCAGACGGGGCTCCCAAGCAGGCCGTCTGCTGGGGCTGCAGAAGGCCGGTGCCAGGAAAAGCCCCTCTTTCCAGCAGGGCTGGGGGAGTGGGAGGAAGGGCACTGCATGGGAGGAAATACTGCCCGCATCGGGAGAAATTTACCACTTCAGCTGCTCCTGCAGATCCCTCTCCGCATCTTTCTCTCCCTGTCGCTTACGGGCCACCTGCCCTATGATGCACGTCGCCACCTCCCTTAGGGTCCCATGTGTCCGTGCAGAAAGAGTCCTGCAGCAGCAAGGACAAAGTTGCTCTCACCATTCAGCTGCGAAACCCCTACCTCTTCCCTCAACCAGCCACCCTTTCCCAGCGAGGCCCCATTTGTCTGCCCTGGGCTGTGGAGAGGGCCCTGGCATTGGGCTCTAAGCCAGGTCAGACTTCCTTCGACTTCCCAGGGCTCTGTAAACAACCCCATGGCTCAGGGGCTGGCTTCCTCAACCCACAGGTGCCTCAGCACCACTCCACTACCCCAGGCCTTTGCTGCAGCTGCTGCACACTTACTGCTTAGAGGGAACGGGGTGGTCATGCTGGTTTCATGGTGGCTCTTCTTCATCCTTGTCCCTTGGCCCCACCGAGAGCTGCCTAAGGGCTCCAGCCTCAGCAACCCTGGCTCTGCCTGCACCTCCACTCCCTGTCCAAGCACTGGTCTGCGCGGTGATCCCCACTGACACGCTGGCCTTTAGCCAAAAAGCAAGACCTCTCTCAGGGAGATCTCTTGCAGAGCCAGGCCACTGCCTGCAAGGGAAGTGCTCTACAGGGCCTGCTTTCCTGCAGACCACTAGGAGCCCAAATGGCTGAAGAAGCACGACAGGCCAGGAGAAAGCAGCCACCCAGTCCCTGGAAGGCATTTCAGAAGAACCATGGGTAGAGCTGGGAAAATGAAAATCCTACCATGAGAAGAGCTTCCAAAGTATTTGTTGTCCCATTCAGCTTTCGCAGAAAGTCTGCACGGAATCACATTTTGAACTCTTTCCCATGCATGATCAGCATGCCAATCTCCCTCCAAAGGAAGGCAGCGTTTTGCATGTCCTCTGTGCAGGCACGGAAGAGATGTGTGGTCCTTTCCACGCAAAGCCGTACTGCGCTCTCAGAGACATGGATTCCTGAGGCAATCTGAGCATATGGCAGTTCCTCAAAATGCGCGTAGCCTGGAAAACAAGGGAAGAGGAACTCTTGCCCTTAGAGAATTTCATGCTGGCTGAAATCAAAGGTCAGAATTGGCAGGAAGGAGATCCCCAATGGCAGGATGAAGCATGGAAAAGGTGCCAGGCCACGGCAGTCATGTCTACACACAGTGTGCTCCTATTCATTAGAGAGGAACACACTGAACCACAAATCCAAGCTTCTGGTGCCACACGTGGCCCTCGGACAGCTGTGCCAATGGAAGCAGCAACCTTAAATCACAGGTCTGGTGCTCTGTGGGTTGTAGTCACTGAAATGGATACGCTTTAACATGGAAATATATCCAACAAGTAGAATCTGTTCTCTAACTTGCAGAATCAGCTAAGCCTCTGATAGATCTGCTGTCATAATTCCTGTCTCTTGCTGTTCGTGATCTCCACAGGAAAGCCCTTTCACACCTGCCAGTATTCTAAAAATTATATGTCACAGGAGGATTGTAAGGGGTTTCTGGAAGGAACCCTGTGGTGATGCTGAGCCTTTGTGACTCCTTAGAACTTTGTCCATCATAAAGTGGTTAGTTCTGAATTCTTCTGCACCTACAGTTATCAAATAAGACAGTTCTTATTAAGCTGAGCTCCATTAGTGGGCTTCTTGGATTCAGTATTTCTCATCCTCACTTAAAAATCATCTTGGAGGCATGTTCTCTATCAATGCATGTTTCTCCCTGACCACAGCTTCATTCCAGTGTCTGTGTTCATGACTATCTGAGGCAATTCTCTCAGTGCATGTCCTGCAAAAAGGAGTGCTTAAGCTTCCTTCTAACCTTTGCAGTCTGTATGCCTCATCTAAAATGAGCTGCATAGAAAAGTACAGGAAGAAGCAGGCTGAATTGTCACTGCTTTTCCGTAAGGCTGAGATTGAAAACATTTTCCTTTCTCTTGTTCCTTCCAATGGCAGGAAGATATTTTTCTCTGTGGTCTGTGGAAAAGTTCCTGTGAATATTAATTTAAATAAAATATCTAATTCTGATTTCTGCTCATAAGATTATTTTTTTTTTTAACAGATCTCAGCAAATCATCCCTCTTTCTCTGTACTGTTCAAGTTTACTTTTTGGTTAATGCACTGGGTCTGGCTGGAATGTTAACTTTCCCGGTAGCAGCCCATACAGTACCGTACTCTGCACTTGTAGCTGGAACAGCAGTGTTATCACACCACTGTTGTGTCCACTGCTGAGCAGCAGTGGCACAGCATTGGGCCTTTCTCTAACCCTCCTAGGGGGTGGGCAAAAAGTGAGGAGAGAAAATGGGCAGCTGACCTAAACCAATCAAAGGGATATTCCATACCATGTGATGTCACACTCAGCAATAAAAGGTGGAAACAGGAAGAAGAGAGGAGGGGTGGGCTCTTGTTGGGGAAACGGGGGTCGTGCTGTTGAACACCGGCTACGTGCGTTGAGGCCCTGCTTCAAGGACATGGTTGATCATCGCTCATTTGTGGGAAGTCGAGAGTAATTTCTTTCCTCTGCACTTCCATATAGCCTTCATTTATATTGTTTGTTTGTTTTCTTCCCTTCTTTTTATTTTTTCCCTTTCCCCCTCCCTTTTCCCCTTTCCATCTTTATTATGAACTAAACGATTTAACTAAAGGGAAATAATCTTTATTTAATTATTATTATTATTTCCCTTTAATTAAATTATCCTTATCTCAACCCATGAGTTGTTCTTTGCTTTACTTCTCCCCCTCCTCATCTAAAAGAGGGGGAGTGAGAGAGCGGTTGTGGGGTTTAGCTGCCCAGCACGGTAAAACCACCACAGTTAAACACACAACACAGTTTAAATGCTTAGAAGTTCTTTGCCAGCTTTCTCCACAAGATGTCAGTGTGGGTTCTTAATTCAATTGTACTGGCACTCTCCTCTGCCTTATCGCATTGCTGAAAAAAAATGGAGACAGGGTTGGGCAACTCCTTCTGCATACGTTTATTTTGAAGCTGAATTCGGTTTGCATCATGTACAAATACCGTTATTAACCTGGATTTTACCTTTGCCGTTTAAACGGACTTTGGGATCAGGCTGTTGTTTCTAGTCCTTCCTTACAGGAGGAGTGCTATATGTCAGACGTATCTATTGAACCGCAGATACCAGTGAAGCTGGCCTGACAGCTGACACTAACAGAGCTGATGGGTTTGTTGCTGAGTGTGATTCTGGAGCAGAAACAGGATGCTAATGGCATGGGGTAGTAAGCTAAGACTGCTCAGGAACAAGGCTTGTTAGGCTAGGATCATTGCAGTATAAATTACAGCATAATATATTTTTTAGCCTGAGTTAATAGTTCTGCATTGACTTGCCTTGCACCATGTGGGTATAGCATGTAGTCGTGTTTAATTGATTATCTCAGCCTAAGGCATGTTGTTTGGCAATAGGTGCGGTGTATTCATGTCCCTCTGAAACTGTTTAAGGCCTATTTAGGGTTGGTGATTTTGTTTAGGTCATTTACTGTCTCTTGCTGCATACTCATCCCAAAGTGGGGGGAAAAAAAAAGCTGGCAGAATTCGGTAACCTTTGAGTGCCCAAATGGTTCTTGCTTACATCCCATTGGATTTCATCTGAGTTGTCAGCTTTCACTGAGAAGAATGCAACCAAGCTTAATGCTATGGAAAGGTAGCATTCCATTTTAAGCAAAGTCAGACATAACCTTTTCCAGGGGAAAACACATTTTCGTTAGATTGATGTTACTTTCAACTGAATGGCTTCAGCATCATTGGTTGATTACGAGGTGGCTAAAGCATCTTGAAGAACTCAGAAGAATATGATGTATTTCATGAGGTTTGATAAGATTAAGCTAGAATGAAGGTGAAAATGAAGAATGAGTGAAGATGGATGTTCTTACTGACAATTATTTCCTTATTCAATAAGAAAGATCACTTCAACATACATTTTTTTTTCCTGAATGCCTCATTTGATAACTTTCCCTAACTGTTCTCCAATTTCTCTAATTCTCTCATTTGTTATTGAATGGAGTGTAAACTGAAAAGTAGCGTGCTTGGCCCATGGTTTCCAAGAGATATGCGTAAAAGAGATGTAGAAATTTCTGACCCCTTCGGCCATTTCTTGCCAATGGCTTTTCTGCCTCTGTCCAATGTCTGCTCTCCTAATCTAGTTTACTTTCCAGAGTACACTTTGTGGGCCTGCCACATCATATCAGTCTTCTTAATTTATTGTTGCTTGTGGCCTCATTCATTCTCCTTCTCTTTCAGAACCTCAGATCCTTGTTACTGGCATCTGCCATTCTCTGGCATCTTGCCTTATCACTCTATGGGTTTTTCCACAGGTAGCTTCTTCCTGCCTATTGTCATACCTAATGGCCTTCACTCCATCAATTCCCAACATTTAGCCCCTTATTGTCTTTCTCCTACCACCAGTCTTTCTGTACAACACCCTTATTTCTCTCCTAGGATCTGAAATATTTATCTTCCTTTTGTGGGCCTGTCTGGGTACCAACACAGGTGTCTAATTACTTTCCAGTTAGAAACAGCTAGCTGTAGATTTTTTCTAAAGAAGAGCCCAGATTTCTCTCAGTGGTATGACTGTTATCTTTTCTTATCCCCAGCACAGTCTTTGCTCCCCTGTCTTCCCACTAATCTTTTCTTATCTCCTGATTTAGTTGTTCCTCTTACTGCTTCAGACTGTAAATTCTGATAGCATACTCTTCTGCCATTCTTCTGCCAGTGTGAAATATCTGTCGCACTGCAGAAATTACAGAGACTCCTTCTAAGGTGTGTTACCAGCAGTAGGCCAAGGATAAATCCTAATATCATTTTTTTTTCCTTTCTTTTCTTTTAAGAAATGTTATAAAGTCCCATTTCTAATCCATCATAAACAGCTTGATGAATAGTTTTCTCATTGATGATAAATGACAATTGAAAATGTTCTTCCACCCTGAGAAAAGTACTCTATTTTAGGACAGGAGAGAATCCCACATGCCACAACAGAATGAGAAATCACAGCAGAAAAATTTGGGGGCAAGAATTGGAACTGGAGATCTTTTGGTTCAGAAGGTATTAAAATCCCAGAAAGAAAAGAGCTAACTTTAAAATTCTTTGCCCTGAGTTTCCAGAGTAATAGTGTTATATTTATAGTTTTATGCTTTACTTATGCAATCACATATTTTACAAAAGTGAACAGCTGGATGCTATTGCTTTTGGTTTCTGACAGATGCCAAATGAGGTCAGTTACAGAGTTTGAGCTGATTCGTGTGGGGTGCATGCTAGAACTAAGATCTCTCTACAGAGCACTTAGATTAAAGGGCCATATGCAACTTTAAGAGGATTTTATTCTCTTTGCAGTAGGAGCTGCTGTCTTCATTGTCCATAGTTCAGGCTAGCAGTGCCTAATGTGGAAAGAAAAATGTGCAAATGGTGTCCTGGTGGTATTGTACTTTTTTTTTTTTTGTGGTTGGTTCTTGTCTGTTTGTTTTTTAGTGGTTGGTTGTTTTTTTGTTTGTACTGTTTTGTTTTGTTTTTGTTTTTCACCTATATGTGCAGAATTGACTGAGTTCAGATTTTGGGAGTTATTGAAATCAAACTTGTGACAGAGAAATCTCCAGTAAGACATTTGCAAGCATTCATACAAATGCAAATTTTGTCCTTCTAATACTTATTTTTTAGTCCCAGAATCTCTTTTGTTTTGAAGAGGAGGGGAAAGTTTAAGAGAGGAGAGATTATTTTGGTTTATGGTTTTTATCTGTCAGTGTCTATATATTATTAAAAGAAACATTTCCTATAAAAATTCTTTTGTTTTGCTGGATGACTCCAGCTAAAATGAGATATCCAATAATAAATGCTGGAAGCTGAGCCCTTGGGGTCCATACCAGCAATGACTGAAAATCTTTTTCTTCTCTCTGGAGAACTGTGGCCAATATTCCCCTTTTATACAGAAATGTTTTGGGAGGGAGACTCAAGTGACGTCTTATTAGTTCTTATTTCTCTAACCTGAGAAACAGAAGAAAATGCTCGAGGTGTGGTTACCAGTTAATCCACAGCATTAACTGGAGAAAGAATTGTTTTTGTTGTTGCACTTAAGGTCTTTTTCCTTGTGGTAGACTCCAGACTGTACTGAATAGCACAGAGTCAAAGGTGTCAGATCAAATGCTATTTTCTGTAATCTTGAACAGTGTTTTTCAATATGCTAACTCAGGAAGGAGGATCATGGAAGATACCTGTCTCCTCTACTGAAAGGTATGACCTGGGTCAGTTCCACTGAATGACTATGCTTAAATTATTTGTGGGTTGCTGAACAAACTGCACCACAGGCTCTGAACCAAAGACATGTAGGGATAGAAAACACGTATCAATGTCTAATGGCATGTCTGTTTCATTCTTCTCTACTTCTGTTCATAGCTCCTCTTCACGGAACGCACATTGGAATCTGAAGCACAGACTGTGACCATCAAATTCGTGTCTGTACCATTCATCTGCTGGCCAAACTTGGGCAAATAATTTCTTTATGCCTCAGTCTGTAAACAAATACAACAGTGCTGTCTTTCCCTTGTTTTGGGCAAAGAGAGAAGAAACAACAGTACAACAGATGCTGTCATTGCTGTTATCCTGGTAAGATCAACGTGCACCATTTGTTACACAGAAGAATCTTCTTGCTGTCTAAGATGGTTTATATAATCTGCCCTGTTAATCTTTATAACATTACAGTTTCTCCTGATCTAACATGGCTCAAGATGTCTTTCAGAGCCTGAAAAAGGTGGTGAACAGTGATAATGTTGGCGGTGAGAGCTGGGGAAATCCTGCTTCAGTAGTCCACTATAATTTATTTGAAAACAACCACATCTGAATGTCTAAAAATGTGCCAGCTGAACCAGGCTCTCAACAGCTGTAGATGCTTGTAATTCTACTTACAGCAAGCTATCCCATAGGGTCCTTAACTGTCTTACTGAATAAGCAAGATATAAAGCTGGATGCAGGGAGTGAAGTGTCCTGCTTATATTTAAGCTTATATTTCTTATTGCATTCTCTGATAAAATACTGGTATTCTTGAAGTGTACATAGTGTGGTCCTGAGAAAGTCTGCAACAGTGGCCGTGTCTGTATAGGCAGTCTTTAGGTTTTCAAATATTCTTTTAATTTCTTATTCTAACACTTATTCATATTAATGAATCATTAATTTATTCTCTGGAATAAGCCAGTAGCAACTTTTGAGGAGTTATTATAGGAAAAGTAGCTGTCTGAATGAAACAAATATGAAGAGAACAATTTGTTATAGAAAATGTGTTTATTTGTGTTTGTTGGTGGCAAATATGACCAAAATTTCCATTTTTATCATCTGCTTATTCCTGTAAATGTTGCTGTGAAAGTACATCTATTTGAGGTTCAGCACAAAATCGGAACATCTTTCCTTGATTGGTACAGGCCATTAATTGTTAGCAGAGAAGTTTGAGAAATGGATTAGGCAGTAATTCCAAGAGAGTTTGGTTTGCCTTTGAATACTATTTGGCTAAATATGACATTCATTTTATAAGGCTTGTGGGCAAAGCTTGTCTATTCTTATCATTGTCTTTACTCAAGTTTTGCTTTCTCATGCTATTTTTGTTTTGTTGCTCTCATTTAATGCCATTCTGCTGCATCACCTAATGACATAGACTAGCAACATGGTAAAAGAACTTTCTTATCTAATTTAATCAAGCTGCATTAGGATTCTGGTTACAAATATCTTAATGGTTGTGGAGAAAGAGGTCTGAGAAATCCTCATAGGGGCTGAGGAATCAAACGTAATTATTAATTAGTGGAAGTCTGCCTTTGTAGCATAAATCTTTGTGTGTCTAATTTCAAAGTACATTGCACATAATCATGTTCAGGGTTATGTCCATTTCAGTGAATTTTCTTTTTTAATATACAGATAAGAAAGACAGGAAGCTCTTTCAATAAGAACATAAAATACAAGGCAGCTGCTCTACCAAAATATATTTCATTGAAACAGAGCTATTTTCTGTGAACTGGATGCAGGTGGAAGTCTATAGAGATAACTAGACATATTGTCATTGCCATGAATGCATATCTGCAATTGCCTTTTCCCTGCTCTATATATTTTTCACGTTTCAAAGAAGATTATACAGTCAAGGGCAGATAATGTCCAAAATTCATTCATTGTGTGACTCTATTGCTTATGGAGACTTCAGGCTGGGAATAAGTTTGATGAAAACTGTAGCTGAAATGGAAGACAGGGGACCATGTTAGATTAGATATGCTGTTCAACTTTCCTGCTATTTTAGAAAGCCTGACTCCCCCCAAGCAAGTTATTTTACTTCACCAGGGAAATACTAGCCTATCTTTCCCTCATTTCAACAAGTTTTTATGTCATGCTATGTTTGATGTTTCTGATGAATAAGTTAATTTTTGCAACCGTTAAACAAACAGAGTTAATTTTTGCAACCTTTAAACAAGCGGCAGGGTATGAGAAGTGCACAGAGAGGGTAATAACCTAATACTGTAATAGCTTCCACAGTCACTGGTGGGGAGGGAGGCGGGGGGAGGGGACAGGAGTTGGCCTTGTTCCAGCCTTTACAGTAAAAAATTTCCAAGTTGTAGAGAAGCATGTTTGGAATTTAAAAGAACACAACTGCAATCTGTTTACATCACCTGTTGACCAATTAGCCAATGCAAATTAAAAAGAAATACCTTTTCATGAGATCTATTTGGTCTTGTTAAGTAAATTCTTTTTAAACTCATCTGATTATGGAAACTTTGATAACATAAGATTTTGTTTTCTGATGTGGCCCCAAAATTTCTTAGAGATGAAAACAGCTGATTGATTTAAATACAGTATAAACTGGGAAAGTCTTGTCTTATGTAGATTTTTTTTACTTGTTTAGATTTTTTTTAATTGATTTATTTTACTGGAAGATATTCTGCTTACTGAAAAAGTTCCTGGGGGAAAAAAAAACAAACTCTCCCTTTTTAAGCATTTTTGGGAGGAATGTTCCATATTTTGTAAAAAGCAGCTTCTGTCATTATTAAGTCTGCACTCACACATTTGCAGAGCGCTAGATGAGTTTCTTCTTAGTATTAAGAAAGTGCACACTAACAAATTTATGCCAGCTAGCATAGGAGAAGGTACAAAATATGCTGATCAGAGCGTTTTGGGAGCTAGGGGCTTGTAAGCTGGACATCAACGAGAGAAGCACAAGGGAAATCTGGGGCAAGGAACTGAGGAATATGGGACTTGGCCTACTAGCCCAGGAAACACTAGAATGGGAATTTTAGAGCTGGGTGCAGTCATTCCTTCTACTTCACTCTTTAAGGAAGGGCAGAGAAAGTGGAGGAACATCCCTGCTGCTGAACTCAGTATGTGTGGTCTTCCACTCTAAGCATGGGAAAGGAGAAACAGAAATGTACAGCGCTTTTCAGAAAGCATGCGTGAGTATAGCTTTAAGATAAAACTTCCATTCAACACAACTGCAAATAATTAACTTGATAAAAACTTTGATGCAGTGCAACGTTTTCACAATTATATGACGTGGAAATGAGTGGATCCTACTTCAAAATTCATGATCAGATTTGAAAAATAAGCAAGAGATTGGATTTGGCTTGTGAAAAAAAAATAAAAATAAAAAGGTGTATTTATCATGTTATTGAAAACACAAGATCAGTTAAAATATTTGCAGTGGAAAGCTGGCTTGCTTACACTTTGCTGGATCTGTTATTGAACCTCTAGTTTGTCCTTATGTTCATGTCAACGAGAATTATGTCAAGACAAGGAAATTATGAGACTGAGACAGGAAGAACAGGAGTTTGTTTGTATGTATGAGTATATAAATACTATGCAAAGTATATTCCTGCCTTAAGACTGTGAGGAGAGAAAAAGAAAAGGAAATATGTTTTAGGGTAGTTAATTTGAATATTTCAGTAATGTGTAACTAATGCTATTAAAACCATTATTTCAAAACCTGTAGTAGCCCATAAGATCTTCTACATAGACTTCAGAAATTTTATATTACAGTATGATAATTCTTAAAGGGGAAAACAACAACAACAAAACTATGAGGTTTGTATTGGCTTTCTGAAGTGACTTTGGTTTCTTGTATTGACTGGTTTAGAAACACTTGAAAAATTAAGGTTAATTTTGTGTTATACTGGTGCTCTTGAGCTGGAAAGGAGAATGTAAGTGTTATTGATGTCTGGAAAAGCTCTTGAGATTAAAAGGAGAAGGTAAGAGCATTTCTGGTGAAGCATTTCTGTGCTTCTGCAGTGTTTTACTCTTTTCAGTTCTTTATAAAACTCTTGAAGAGGTTGAGTTCACATGTGTAGTTCACCGAGCCTTGACCTCCATCCTCCTTTGTCCTGGGGGTGACTGATCAGATGTAAGTGAATGGTGTAACTACATTTGAATTAGAGACTAAAGACAGCAATATCATGCCATTTCCATGCAGTTTTGTCTTGTAACTAAGATACTAATCTAGAAGAAAGAAGCCAATCTGAAGCCAATACCTCATTTCTTCTATACACTAGCATGAGAGTAGTGTCTTCTAAGAGTTCAAAAAATAGCTACTGTATTCCTCAAAATCAAGAGCAGCTGCTATTGAGAGATATGAAGTGGGACTACAGAACTGTGCACACTGTTACATTTTATCATGTTCTTTATTTGAAAATACTAGATTATGATAAATATGCTCAATGTTGATGTAAATGGCAATGTTATTATCTCTCATTTAATCTTTCATGCTTTTATAAAAATATTGTTGTATACCAATCAACTGATTAAGAAATCAAGTAAGTTTTGTGATGAAGGAAAAATGTATTAAAGGATTTCTAATGCTTTTGTGGTAATGCCTCATTTACTTGAAAATATGTGATTTCCACCGTACTTAAATTGGGAACTGGGTCCAAAATGTATGTCTGTGTATTTAGTTCTACTAGGTTACCCTGTTCATCTGGTTCCTTTAGTTCTATTTAGTTTCATTATGTAATTTTATTGCAGATAGTACAGATCTAATCTTAAAACTGACACACACACACACACACGCAGAAAAAAAAAATAAAAATACCTTGCTGTGGCATTTGATGTTCAGGGGTATTCTTTGAGAGATTTATTCCTGCTCTATACATTCTAGCAATCTGAGCTAAAAATATGGATAGTAGTTCAATATAATCTTTTATCACTATTGCTAGAGTATAAGCCATTTTTCTGTCACTTCTGGGTGGCACTTCAGTCAACTTACTTAATCTCATAGCAGCTTTCTGAAGTTTTTTTTCGGCAACTGCTAGAAAAGATCAGATAGAGAAGTGATAAACTAATGCAATAAAATTTCTCTCATATGTTGGCAAGCTTGCAGCAAGAATAGTGAATATAAAGCATCCATGTCTTGAAGGACTATGCCATATAAATATGAATATCAGCAACTTTTTTTCTATATGTAGAAAGAGATTTTTAAAAGCTTAACATGAAGTCCAAACTGCGAAGTTTCTGTTCTGTTCTGAAAAATAACTATTATAGAACTAGGCAGATGTATGGATTTTAATGGCAGTAATTCATGCTAGGAGATCATATGGATTTTAATGGCAGTAATTCATGCTAGGAGATCATACGGATTTTAATGGTAGTAATTCATGCTAGGAGATCGATTGTGGAATTATTTTCATGTTTGGGGATGTAAAGATCAAAATTATATTATCCCAGGTTATTCATATAACAGTTATCAGTAGATATTAGTGTGCTCCAAAGAGCACAGTAACAGTGCTCTGAGCCAGCTGTTAAGCTGTCCAAATACTCAGTCTGAGGGTTCTCTCATATTAAAACCCTCTAAAGAGTAAACTGAGAGGAGCATTTTTCGACCACCGACATCTTTTCTATTTTTGTCCCTTTTAAGCTCTTTAACCTGCTTCTGCTTTAATTCCAACCAATAAAAATAAGCTTGAGTGATGTGACCAACTTTAAATCCAACTTTAAATTGGCAGCAGGGGTAGGGGACAGAGAAAGGGAGCAATTTCTAGGTAATCTGCAAACTCACTGTAATAAATTGGCAGTTACAGTGGCAAATGGTGTTAACAAAAAAAGTATTGCAGTGTGATCTCAGTCAAAGCATTTTTTAAGCTTTCTCCAGAGGAAAAAAAAAATGTTGAGGGTAATAAAGTAACCTTTTCTTACTCAGTTGTGTAGGCTACCTGGCTATAAATGTATTTATTACATTTACAATACAATTACATTACAATATTATTATTTATATCTGGAAATTAGCAACACAGTCACCAGTTTCAAATATTGGGAAAACAAACAAACAAGCATACAAACAAAAAAAAAACAACACAGGAGAATGCTGAGGTTAATAACTGTAATTTAAATAATATTTCTCTATACTTGGATAGCACTTATTTTAATTTATTCCATTCAGATCATTAAACTTTTAACTGATCAAGAATCTACTAGCCTCTACTTAATGTGGGCTAGTGACTTTGATTTCCTTAGAGTTGATTTGTACTAAATCTTATTTAAAAACATAATCCTATTTTGAAATTAAAACAAAATCAGAAAAGCTTTGACATATTTTCAAAAGCTTTTCTTTGTGTTGTGGTTTAAACTTCAATTCTATTTTGGAAATAAATAAATAAGAGTGAAAAGGAATCACTGATATCTTTTTGTTTTTTTTTTTTTCCAGTCAGCTTTTAATCTTTATTGACATACCCAAAGATGATAACATGATAAAGGTTTAGATGCTTTTGAGTCGAGAAAAAACTTGACTGAAAATGAAATCTAAAGAAATTGAGAGTATGCTTGCATATATACATAGGTATACTGTATTGGAGATGTAAAATATGTAAGCATGCATAACATCAATTTTAAAAGTGCTTAAAGTACTCTTTACTCCAGAGAATTAACATTCCCCTAGTTTTCTATCTATCTAGATTATTTTTGAAAAAAATAATAAATGAATGAGCTGAAGTGATGCAGAAGTCGTGAAAAGGGAGGGTTTTGTTGTTGTTTGTTTGTTTGTTTGTTTTCATAGAATAATTTAGGTTGGAAAAGGTACTTAAGATCATATGATCAGCAAGTCCCCCCATCACCTAACTCTACCAAGTCCATAAGCACTACAACCACACCTTGCTCTAAGGATTGCAACTCCACTAGTTCCCTGGGCAGCCTGTTGCAATGCCTATGGAACAGGTTGACCAACGTTTCTTTTATTTTCTCATTCTCTCCCTGCTTTCTACTGATCTCCTGAACTTCCCTTTTCCCCAATTATTTATACTCACAGATGCAGTTCCCCCTTTTTCTTTCACTATGTCACTGCTGTCCCTTTATTTCACTCTCAGTCTCTCTCCTGTCCCTCATTACGTATTTCATGTATGGTCCAACTTCACATACTTCATTCTATTACTCAATAGCACACATGGATTTTTATTTTACCTCTCTTTTCATAGAGTAGCAATAATAATAATGATTAGTGTGACTGTTGTCTGCATTGAAACTGGGCTTTGGAGTCTCAGTCATGGAGCAGGATCCGGTAGCCACTGTACACATTACATATTTTTTATTACCAGAGAGCTTATTTTACCTCATTATCTCCAGTGGAAGCCAGTGGAAGCACACCAGTTAAAAAGCTAGTTCCACACAGTGCCAAAGATGTATGTGTTCATTTCATTATTATTTACTACCTTCATTTTCCCAGTCTGATGTTTGATGTTCTTCAGCACTTGCTGGTGCAGTCACAGCTCTTGTTAGCTATTATTCAGAGGATAGGTAATAGTAGGTTGTAAACTTCTTGAATGCCACCAAGAATTGCAATATATTTTTGAAAATTATTTGAATAAAGAGATCAAGAGACTTAAATGGGAGATGTAAATTTTCAGCATATGCAAGATGTTGATAATTTTTCGTTGTGGATTTCTTGATCAAAGTAATTTACTTTATACATCACATATATAACTGGGCTGTTTCTCAAGTGTACAATTTTCAAGTTAATATAATACGTAATTATAGCTGTTATTTTAAAAAATAGTTTTGTGTTATCTCTTAGCTTAGCATCTCCCTTGAGATGGAAGAGTAAGATTTGAAGAAGGAATATGTAATATATATTTGTGGTGAATAAACCACTCAGCTAGAAAACAGGAAATGAATTTCTGTCTTTATGAAAATCAATTTCCGAAAAATTAATGTATGAGAGAAAATCATCTAATTTCCCCTTTCTCTGAAGTGTTGAATAAAACTAATTCTTTCCTCTGTACCAAGTACAGTGTTTTTATTACACCTAAGGGGCATTTGCATTTTCTGAAAACAATATAATTACAGCTTAAGTATTGCATGATAGAGCTATAAAAATAATAATTAATAATTTAAAAAGTGCAGTTACATAGCTGAACCAGAACTGATAGATTTGGCTTGATAATGAAGACTGTCTGTATTCAAAAGGCTAATAATTGGTTGTAACTTCATATGTAAATTGTCTAGAAGACAAGGTATTCCCTTTTATGTGTGTTTAAATACTCTGACTCTTCTTTATTATCTGCTTCCATATCTTTCAGGATACCAATAAAACCACAAAGATGAAGAGAACATCATGGTGGCATTTTGGTGACTTGCAGATGCCAGAGTAAGTGCTGAGCAGAGAAGGGAAGGTAGGAAAAATGGGAAAATGTCAAACTGATGATCAGATTTATACCATTGAAACTATTCTCAAATGCAGAATTTTCCAAAATGTATCTGACCAAAGAATTGGCAGAATAAAGATCTTGGAAAGAACTGAAGATTTAGTTTTGCAATGTAAAAAAAGTCATATATTTTTTTTAATTTTGATTGTAAACTTTTATAAAAGGAAATTGTCATCTGGTATTCACAATAAGATTGTTTTAAAATGTAATAAGATTCAATTAGATTTATTTTGAATGGGTAACCACTTTTATAAAGATGCCACAAAATGTTTAATCTCATGGAGGGAGGCAGAATTCAAGCAAAAATTTCATATTATTCTAATGAATTTTCTAAAGATTCTAATAATACAGACCAGCCTGTCTATCTCTAATTATAGGCCTTCATATACTGTGACTGTTCCCACTCAGCAGTGCAATTGGTACCTTGATGGAACACATTTAGTCTCGCTATTTTTTTTCCTCAGGAAGGTGGACAGTGAAATCCATGCAGCAAGGGCAAATAGGTAGAATTTACTTCAAGCCATGAACAAAGCAGTAGACTTTTTCACTTAATGTGTGACTTTCTTATCAACAGCTGCAAGATTTATCAATTAAGCATGACAGCTACAATAAGTGAAGCCAGTGTTAAGCAAGACGCCCTTGATTCTATTTTTTTTCCTGCTGGTTCTTGATGTTATACCAGCATATTGTTAAGATGTCATCAGGCAATAATACAGCAAATGGAACTTTTAGGACCTCTTGTTATTAAAGTTGTCTGACATTTCCTGTTCTAATTACTAAACATTTTAAAACTAATTTTAACTCTTTTGGAGCCTGAATTTGCCTATTAGGGAACAATCTACCTTAGGAAGATTTAATCTGGAAAGTTTACAAATGCAGTGAGCATTACTGATAACTAGTTTGCTAGCATGTTCACTGTAAAGAAACAGAAGAAACTGCATGATGAGTAGTGAGGGAAAAGAGGGACAAAACGTTATTATTTCTGTGGTAGACATGCTTCTGTCCCTTTACTCCAGGCTTGTGTTCTTTCTTAGTATTAAAGGTAAAATTTGAAGTATTCAATAAACATCTAATTATGGAGTTGTCTCATTTCATAATTAGTTCCAATTTTATTTATTTGGTAGAACTCTATATAAGATAAGGGGCTATTTCCTATAAATTATTATTTCATAAACTCATCACAGGAATGGAGAACACTGTATGCTACCTTACCACAGTGGAAGAATTATAGATTAAAATCATATAAGCATTAAGGTTGGAAAAGACTTCCAAGATCATCTAGTCTAACTGTCCCCCTATCACCAATATCACCCACTAATCCTTGTCCCTAAGTACCACGTCCAACCTTTGCTTAAACACCCCCCGCGATGGGGACTTCACTACCTGCCTGGGCAACCCATTCTAATGCCTAACCACTCTTTCCAAGAAGAAAATTTTCCTAATTTCCAAGTTGAACCTCCCCTGGCACAACTTGAGGCCATTCTTTCTTGTCCTATTGCTAGTTATCTGTGAGAAGAAACCGAACCCCAGCTCACCACAGTTTCCTATATTAGAAGGAATAAGGGGTTACAATTAAGAAGATACAATATCTTGAATATGCAGCAAATTTCTACTTTTTTCCCACTATGATAACGTAGAGAATTTATGGATATTCATTAAACATTTAGCTGGACAATTCATTAGAGAATGTCGTGTAGGAGGGAAATGAATGCACAATGTAACAATCTATTTCTACCTTCAACTTCTCTAAGTCCTTCGTGCTATGTTAAGGAATTTTAAATTAATCTCTTTCTGCCTTCCAATTACCCTTTTTTTTTTTTTCTTTCATATTTCTTATGAAAGAAATGTGTCTTCAGGTATTACAGGATCTTAGTGGGGAAAAGTATTTCTGATGGATGGCTACAAACTCTATAGGTGACACTGTTAGTAACCTTTAAGTTAACATGTGTATTGGGTTTATGTGGCAAGGTTTTGGTAGCAGGGGGCTGCAGGGCTGGCTTCTGTGTGAAGAATCCAGAAGCTGCCCCATGTTAGATAAGAGCTGGTTTCAGCTGGGTCCGAAGGGACCCACCACTGGCTACAGCCAAGCCAGTAAGTGATGTTGTTTGTGCCTCTGTGTGAGCAGATTTAAGAAAGGAAAAAAACAAACAAACACTGCTGCACAACAGCAGCTGGAAGAGTGAGGAGTGAGAAACAGCCTTGCAGACCCCAAGGTCAGTGCAGCTGGAGGTGCTCCAGGCAGGCAGCAGCAGTTCCCCTGCGGTCTGTGGAGAGGCGCCTGGTGGAGCAGTGTGTCTCCCTGCAGCCCATGGGTCCCACATGGAGCAGATCGCCACTCTGCAGCCCATGGAGGAGCCCCCGGTGGAGCAGGTGGATGCGGCCCAGAGGAGGCTGTGGCCCATGGTGAGCCCCCACAGGAGCAGCCCCAGGCTGGAGCTGCAGCCCATGGAGAGGAGCCCACGTAGGAGCAGGGTGTCTGGGGGGAGCTGCCACCTGTGGGAGACTCATGCTGGAGCAGTTTGCTCCTGACGGATGGGCCCCATGGTATTGAGCCATATTGGAGCAGTTCTTGAAGAGCTGCTGCCTGTGGGAAGCCTATGCAGGATCATTTTGGGAAGGACAGCATCCTGTGAGAGGGACCCAATGTGGAGCAGGGACCGAGTGACTATGAAGGAGTGGCAGAGACAAAGCATTAGGGACTGACCATAGTTCCTATTCCCCATTCCCCTGTGCTGCTTGGGGGGAGGAGGTAAAAGAGGGAGGATATGGAAGAAAGGTGTTTTTTAGTTTGCTTTTTTGGTTTAGTTTCTCACCGCTCTAGCTTGTTAGTAACAGGTAATCAGTTTCTCTAATCATGTGCTGATTCTGTTTTGCCATGACAATAATTGTTGAGTGATCTCCCTGGCCTTATCTCAACTCTTGAACCCTTTGTATTGTATTTTCTCCCCCTTTCCCTTCAGAAAGTGACAGAGCACTTGTGGCAGAGCTTAGCTACTCAGCTGTGTAAAACCACCACAGCATTTTACAATTTACGGCCGTAGCACACAAGAACAGAGATTTTTAGGGTCTCAGAAAAGGTGAAGTAGCAGAACTATTGTCCAGTTAAGCTTTGTTATTTCCAGTATCTCCTCGGTGAACTGAAAGTCTCTGGCTGAGCTATAATGCTAGGTTTCACTAGATGGAATCTTGACCACTGTGATACAAATGAAAACACCTTACATTGAAAACAGAGCACCAGATTATTTCTGGTTGAACAAAATAATCTGTGAAGCTGTTGTGATGCTTGATGTCCATGTAGAACTCCAGGAGTTTAAAAGGGTCCGTCTCATAATGGCCATGAATTATTCAGACCCTGGGATTAGTCAGGCATGTAACACAGTATGCCATAAAATTACTTTTCCAAGCTAAAATGGATATTAGTGATGAATTTGCCTCTAGGATATGTGTTTTCATCAAGAGTTACTGAGAAAGCTGTCTGAATAATCAATCCAGAATTACCACAGCCAAACATACATACACTTAATTTTTATGTCAGTGTCCCTAGACAAATAGCAAGGCAAAACAAACAAACAAACAAAACAAAACAAAACAAACAAACAAACAAAAAAACACACGAAGCTTTATTGTTTACAAGCAAGGCTTTGAAAGATGTTCTTTTTGTTTCTCTGCTGACTGTCATAAGGTGAGAAAGTGAGTTTTTCCTTCTCTCTTCTATCATATGCAAATGAATCATTTCACTGGCTTTACACAAGAGTTTCTTACCTGCTTGTTTATTTTCTGCTTACCTCCTCCAACTCTCAAGAACATCACCATCTCTATAGCCTTCCCCTATTTGTAGACTTGTCACCACTTTGTCTTCTCACATCAGTTGAAGTGTTTATAGATATTCATCATATTCATCGCGGCGTGTGTATCTGAATGAAGAAGTGAGAAGATAGCTGTGAAAGCATATAGATATGTTGCTGAAGTAAGAAATCCTTAAAAGAATAACCTTTGGGGACCTAAGATTGAATCCTTTCCAATCCAGGCATGGTTTATGGCCCATCAGAAGTTTCCATCAAAGTGTGACCTGGGGTTTCTTAATACAATGTTGCTTGACTGTGATTAATATTCCCAAACTGAGTAATGACTGCAGAACAGAAATTGTATTGCAAATCTGTTAGGACACACTTTCTTACTAGATTCTCTACCTGTCTGTGTTAAGTGATTGATTTGATGGAAAATTAACAGCATCTGTTTTTACCATTTCTGTCTCAGGCTGTGTGTAAAGTTATGCAAAATTAATCTAATAAAAATTAAAAAGATATGTTATTTGAATTGCGAGAAAGAATTATTTTTTGTCTTGTGAGGTTTACATTTACTAGCATTTGTTATTCAATGGGTTTATATATCCTGTAAGGTAACATTATGTTTTCCTCAGCTTTACGTGCATAATGAGATCAAGATCAGGACTTGATTGGAAGAAGTGCTATGACTGTCTGATTTTCTATAACATTGTGTGGATTGTATGCTTAAAAATTTGTAAAGGTATTTTTAAAAATAACATTTTTAATAAGATTTTTTTTTTAAGGTAGAAAATATATGCACTGCGAAAGCCACTATTCTAGTTGATAGAAATGATATTCAGTGAATGTACAGAAAATATGTTGCTAGTTATTGTAGTAGTACAAATGTGTAGAGGGTGATAACACTTTACCAAATATTTCTTTTCTGATATTTCTGATACAGAAATGTCTGTCTAATTAGTTTCTTTATTGATAGAGGTGGGATTAAAAACAAACAAACAAACAAACAAACCTGGAAACTTTTTCCTCTGTGGCATCAAGGATGACATAATACAAATTCTTGACAATATTAAGCATATGCTCTAGGGAGGTTATTTTCAGTAACAAAACACGTAAAGTTTTTTGGTTTTGTTTTTTTGTTTGTTTTTTAATTATAGTTCATGATGAGTTCTTCACAAAAGCTGGATAATGGGCTTGTAAATCTAGGCATGACAATTATTTCTTTTAATTGTGGCATTAGTGTTTATAGACTGGTGCAAGAGAATTAGAATAAGCTATTTTATCCTCTGGTAACTTCTGCAAGGCATGCAAAAGATCAAGAAATGCTCTGACCTGGAACATTCATGGGAATATATTATAATTATCTAAGGATTTAATTTAATTTTTTTCTGAAACTATCGAAATTTTCTTGCAGCTGAGGTAGGTACGAGCAGCAATTGTTCCTTTTGTTTAAAATAATTGCTCAACTCTCTTTACCCTAAACCACTGAAATGGTAAAATGCTCTGATTTCTCATCCCATAAGAACATGAATATAGATACAAAGCTGTACAGCTCCACAGATATTGATGACTAATGTAACAATGCAATGTAGAGAAATACAGGTATGATAGCTGATGCCTTGAGATATGATGACATAAGGAGGAGTACAGATGTGGCATGGAAAGAAATGAGACACAGGCGGGCACTGAGGACCCTGTGGGTATAATCAACTCACCAGTAGTCAATGGAGGAAATGCAGGCCTGAAGCTGGACAAAAACAGTTTCAGGGGTACCAAAGAAATAAAGTGCAAGCATCTAACATATGTAAAATGCATCATAAATAGTAAATTCCTATGTGATGTGAACTTGTGGACCAGTAGAGTAAGAGAAGGGAACAGTATTGTGTTACCAAACATTTTAAAGCAACTCTAAGCAGACTCCACAGTGAGGAAGAAAAAGCCATCACAATCCAACCATCAGCATCCTCAGCAAAGCAGTTGACATGCTGTCAACTTGTCATGCTCTCCACCTGCTTAGACTGAAGCTATTCTCCAAAGACTTATGCTCGTGTGCAGGAAGCAGGGAAGGATGGGTTCTGTTATGTTCAGATGGCAGATTTAAGTGACACTAAATAAAAGGGAAAATACTGGGAAGTGTGTGTATAAAAAGCTGATTATTATTGAGACTTTTTGTGTAACAGCTGTATTGTTTGTTATCTTTTGCATTCATTTTCTCCAATAGTAGCTAGACCTGCAATAATAATAATAATAATAATAACAACAGCAATAATAAAAACTTTTATTAGACTGATAAGATTTCAATTACACTAGCAATAAATTATTCTCCTTAAATATGAAATGTTTATTTTTTTGCACATAGAAAGATTTTAGATTTTGAGTGTAACGAAATCACACATCATAATGTTTCAATCATATAATTTCCTTTGCCATACCAGTTACTCCTGGTCTTTTTCATTCTGTAGTGAGTGTATTCCTCATAGAAAAATTCTGTTTTGAGTCTTAAACCCATTGTTCTCCCTAAAATATTAATCATGTGTCTCATATTGTATGACTAATTTTGCAGATGGATAACCAGCTATACAGAACAATCTTCCTTGGGGGAGGCAAAGAAACCATTATATATTGACTTCCTGGTAGCTATCTTTACTTTACCAAGACAAAATGTGTATGGACTGTTTAAATTCAGAAATACCCTTTATCTGCACTTTGAGATAATAAGAGTTTTCTAAGACCTCTGTTTATCTAATAAGCCAGAAAATTCAAAAAAAGTGAGCCAGATCCATCTATTTTACAGGACTCCCTTAATGCAGTGTTTCCTCTTCCTTCAAGCAATACTACGTATCAGAGGATCTTTTATGTGCTGTGGTACTTTTTGTCAGATGGAGAGGAGAGGAGCACCAAGGAACAAACAAAACTCCTCTGGTGTCTTAAGACTTTCACTTAGCAGTCTCCTTGGTCATTAGGTAAGATACTGAATGGGAATGTACTAAGCATAGATGCAAGAATGGTCAGATAAAGTGGAGCTTTATATTCAATCAGTGGCATTAAAGCTGCTGTGTTAGAACACTGAATTCTCAAAAAAAAAAAAAAAAGAAAAAAAGTTAGGATAAAAACAGAAGCAGAGACTCGTTTATAACCTCACTTATGCCCAGTGAATTAGATGTTGGCTCTAGACACCTCTTCATTTCATCACATATTTATTGTTCCATCTTCTTTACAAATTGATGAATCAAAAGTAGGTCAGGTGGCTGAGAAAGCTAGCTGCGATACTCTGTACACTCTGATTTACTTAAATTAATCATCTGAACATAGCAAATACACTCAGGCACTCTTGCATGAAGCAGTTAAAAAAAAAGTTATCAGACTAGAGGAGAGGTTATCAGAGGACATACAGAGCAGGAACTCTAAATAAGTCCACTTTGCAGTGCTTTCTGTCAGGGCTGTTATAGTTGTGAAGATATTCTTTACAAAGCTCCTTTATTTAGCATTTAATTTATGGTCTCTGCTGTGTTTACAGCCACAGTCCACTCAGTAGCCGTGTTTCCTCCTATTTATGTTGAATAAGTCCTTGCCAACTTCTTTATATTTACTCTTGTGCTAAATATAACCTTGGCTAATGGTACTCTTCCTATATAATTTTGAATCATAGAGTTTTCTAGTCTACAAAACCATCAGTGAAGATTTAGATGCATTCAGGTCTCCTGTTTGGGAGTTGTCTGGGGGTGGTTTGAGAAAAACTGTGATTGATTAGTTTCACTGATATCTTGGTTGACTTTGCAACCTATGAGATTCAGGTTTCAGGTATCTTATTAACTTCATCACTGGTCATATTCAGGGATGTATACCTGTTTCATTGTGGCATATATCTAATTTTTCCTCTGGGAAAGCCTGTTTCCAAGATTTTCTCCAGTGATCAAAAAACTGTGCCAAAATTCTGCCCACAGACACCTTATTCAAGTTCTTCATTGTCCTTACTGTTTTAAACTGTCTTCATAATATGAGAACGTCCGCCATTTTAAGCTCACCATTTATTATCTACATAGGTATAGAAAAATGGTTGTTTTCTTTGTTGCTGTGGAGAAGAATGATAGAAGAAAAACTCAACTGTTAGAGCTATGTAAAAATGAATAAAGGTTGTTGAATACTAGTATGACTGATATGATAATTTTAGCATGATTAATTCATTTTAATAGTCCTCACTTTCACTGTTGTGCCACGTCCAAACCCATAATGAGCCGCTGCCAAGCCCAAAGACTCAGATCAACAAAGCACAGCTCCCTCTATTTAAAGAGCCTCTCTTAAAGCTGTACCTTCTCTTTTGTGCTGCATCTTCTGGCCTGGTCAAGTGGGGCAACAGTCTGAATTTGATTATTCTGCGACCCTTTTTCATGTTCTTCAGTGATCCAATAGTTCCACAAATCTCTATTGACCACTCAAAAAGAAAACAATATGTAGTACTTTGTGTAATGAAAGAGATGAGGTTCTGAGAACATTATTGGGAATACTTTTACGGTGTGCTGACACTAGAATGAATTTGCTCGCCTAGGAAGAAAATAATAATAAAAAAATAGGACAGCTGATTATATTTTAGTTCAGCTGTACATATTTTAAATTACATCACAATACTGGTATGAACAAAGTTGATGAGGTGGTGTTTAGTCCTTCAGATATTTTTGGTGTTTGTAACTATCACAGCAAGATGTGTACTGTTTGTGGTGACTCAAATACCCCTGTAAGAATACCACTTCAGCCTTATGCATCCTTGCCTTTAGATAATTTCTGCATTTTCTTGCTCAATATATAGCTACAAAATACATGTTAATGAATCTGAATATGAATATGAATCATGAATATGGATAATATCAGGAAGTGTTTGATTACTGCTTCTTCACTGCTGACATGAGGGAAATCTCTGTACTATGCAGAAGCACATACATTTTTCTAGATGAAATCCAGCATGGCTGCTGGAGCTCTGTAGGTTTCCAATAAACAAACCAAATTACATTTAAAATCACCTAGCACGTATTGAGGTTCACAAAAACAAAGAGAAAGAGATGAGGTTTTGACCTGATTGCCACCAACACAACAACTTGCACAAGCTGTGCAGTTAGCAAGCCATCTGTTGACATTACTGTACTGAACATGAGCAGCTAAAAATGTAATTATAAGGGGGAGTGATGACAGCTTTTTATTCAATGTATATCCACCAAATGTGTAATTGTGAGGCTAACGTATTTCACTTTTTTTTTCTCCACAATGGAGACCAACTAACCCTTTTGCTTTCTGGAAAGGCAAGCTGTCATTTCAAGAAATAGCCACAAGTTGCTTAGCTGCAGCTCAATGGGATCCCATGGGAAGGGAGCAGACCTGGCTGTGGCCTCCCCACAGAGATGCCCAGCAGTGAGCCATGGGTCACCATCAGGGCCACCCTCATCTCCATCCTCTCAGCCTTGGCCCTGAGTTCTGGGATCCACATGACCAGGAGCAGGGAAGATGCTGCCTGTGGCCTGACGCGATGGTT